AACCCCTATTTTTCATGAGAATATTACCTGTAAGGGCCAAGAGACTAACAAATACTAGGCATCCCCATTGGGGATGAGAGACAAGAGTCTGCTCTTAAATCGACTTCAGAGTAGAGGTGCCAAAACAAATAAATCACTGTAAGTGAAATGCTTTGAAAGGTAAATGGGCTTTAAAAATGTTTGTGTGGGTTAAGTTTTGTAATCAGAAGTATTCATTACTGTCCGATATGGTAAAGGCACATGTCCATCCGGATCTCTGGAGATCTCCTCCTGGTAGATAATTCATTATTTTCCAACCAATACCTAGCACAGTGGACACCCCCAACAAATGTTACTGAATGAAGAAAAAAAGTAAGCCAATGTTCAAACATGTTATGCTTCACCTACTCCAAAATTGTATTCATTTGAGTAAGAAGTAATTAAAGGCCCAAAGTTCTCAGATTCCTTCAATCCATACTCACTTTTCATCAGTAAGAATTCTGGAATGATGAGCAACCCTAAATGCCTATTTGACCCAGCGACTCGAGCACTGATAGAATAAAAAGCAGAGTAAACATCTACTACTTGGGATCCCCTGCCTCTAGCCAAGTTCATCCTCAAAGACCCTGTCTCACTTTGTATTGTCATCGTGGTATGACTTACACTCCTGAAGCCATTATAAAGAAATCTGAGAGAAGAATGGCACTTTGACAAGCTACTTTGGTCTCCATAGTGGCTCCATTCTATTTTTTTCCTTTACAGCAACCTTTTGTAACTGAAGTAAAAATACTTCAGTCATTTCTCTGATATGAGGAAGTCACATTTGTGGATAGGCAAGAAACAACCTATTTGTTTTCCTAAAGTTTCACTGGACATAACTCTCTGGTCATAGATCACCAAAGGCTTCTTTAATCTATAACCAGGAAGCTCCTGAATATTCATCAAGTCATCTAAAACATTGGTCAACAAGAAGTCACCTCAGTGGCTTTGTCCATATACCAAGATTCAATTATGGGAATGGCAATGCCCAAATCCCCAGGTCATTGAAAAATGAACAAGTAACATGAATTAAGCATGCAAAGCTATTGATGGTTGAGTGCATCAGTCTGGGGTCCCTGCTTGAATTCAGCCTAAATTCTGAAAGGGGGCTCGACTTTGCCTTAGCCCCAGGGATTGACCTGCCCTGCTTTGGTCTAACAGTTCTCTTAAACAGAGCCAGAAGCACCCCATATTTCTAGGCAAAATGATCTGGGGCGGGGGGGGTCTTTCCTCCAAGTTAATTTTTATAAACCTCCAGAGAGATTCAGAAAGTACTGGACCAATATAATACCACTAAGATTGCTAATAGTAACTTGGTAGAGAACAGAAAAAGGGAGAGCCAAATTGATATCTCCTTTGGGGTTCAAACTGGTCTGGAAAAAATGTAGCAAGTCCAAAATGACTGTTCTGCAAGACCAGAGATAGAATAGAGCCACTTCTAATTTGAAGAGTGCCACTACCAATGATGGTTTCACTCGTTGCTAATAAAAAGAGCTGACTCAGTGAATACTCACCATTAGCCAGCACTGTCCTAAGTAATGTCTTAATTTATTTAATCCTCAGGACAACCCTAAGAGGTAGGAATTATGATTACTATAGATTTCATCAACGACAAAATGGAAACCCAGAGAGGTTAACTAACTCACTCCAAGTTACTCAGTGAATAATGGCCGAGGGAGGGCCAACACCAGGTGCAGTGTTTATGCGCCTGCCCGTCCCCATCCTGCCTTGTCCCACCCCTGGAAGCTTGGAAGAGTGCCCCATGCACAAGCACAGACAGTGAGATGAGGACGACAAGCACGGTGTTTGTGGGAGGCAGTGTCATGTTGCCTGCAGCGCTGGCCCAGCTGGGGTGAGAGTTTGTCCTTGCCTGGCTCCTTGGAGGCACTCCTCATCTGTCTCAGGGCATCTCCACGAACTGCTCTGCTCTACAAATACACTCTAGGTTTTCTAAAGAAAGCTTAAGGTTATAAAGACCGGGACAGATATCACTACAAAAAAAAAACAACTTCAAGTAGATCCCACATTATAAACTAGAAAACTGGAAAGAAGAGAGACCTGGCTATAGATAATACTCTTTGTACCACACCCAGGGAGTATCCATGGGATACTCCAAACAGCTGCTCCTGAAATTTCAGAGTTGCATGATTTGTATGGTCATGCCTTAAACATCAAAACAAAATTTCTTCCCATCTAATTTGCTTTTCTGGTACTGGGCTTTTCAAAGTTGAAATAAAGAAAGGATAGAAAACACATTCACAGATGATATTCAAAACCACTGATGAAGGAGTTTCATTCCTTTTTTCTTTTAATTTGCCTAGCATTAAAGTCCTCTCGTAACTTGACAGTCATTGGGGTGACTAAAATACCCAGTATATCTTAGTGAAAAGCTATTTTTAAAATCACTTGATTTAGAAAACTCCAATCATGGTAATTTCGTGGGGATTCTTAGTACACAAATTAAAAGTTTTAAATTGCTCTGCCAGAATTTGTGAGTTCAAATAATCTTAATTAGGAAAGCCCTACCTTGATGCATATTTATCAGTTGTTTTTAACATCTGCCCTGATACAAAATTATTTTGAGGATTGCTCTATGAGTTATAGCTCCCGTGGTCAGTAATAGCAGTAATGATGCAATATGAGACGAGGAGCTAGAAGTGTGATTCCAGTCTTGCCCGACTCTGCCACTCTTCATCTCTGGATCCTGAGAATGTCACTTAACTTCTCTCAATCTGTTTCCTCCTGTCCAAAGAGGAAACACAGTTCCTACCTCAAAGTGTTGTTTCATGGATCAATGGGATTTCGGTAAACCACAAGGCACCATAATATAGCATAGTATTAAAACTGTGTTCTATACCAAAATGCCATGTTAATCACCTTAGGACATTTCTCTTAATTCCGGACCCTTATTCTGTAAGAGGTTTTAAAAAATAAATCAGACCCTACAGATTATATATATATATATATATATATATATATATACACACATATATATATATCTTTAAAATATATATATATATATAAAAATTACAAACCAAATGTGGTGGCAGTGTGGCTCAATGAGAAAAGTGCACATGTAGTCTGGTGCAGAAGGGAATCAACTTGGCTGATGTGGCAACTTTGCCAACTCATGACCCTCGGTTCTCTCACTTGAGAAATGAAATAAGAAGTCTCCGATTAAGAATGATGTGGGAATTAGAAAAAAATATATATATGTAAGGCCTCTAGCAGGACAGGCACACAGTAGGTGCTCAATACATGGCACCCATTTCACATCAAAGAAGCCATTTAATTAAGCCAAGTATGCCGTGCGTCTCCACACTCACAACAGCTGAGCAGTGTTCTGCCCAGAACAGTACATCCATTAGCAGAGTCCCAAATAAACCTCGGCCAGGGCCAGAGCCCTGGGTTTATCCCACTGGAGACTCCAGCAGATTAAGGCTGTGCTCCCTGTATTCGCGTTTCCTGCTTTAGACCGCTATTTTGTAAAGATGTACTAATGGAACCTCAACTGTGAAGAATAAAATTAATGCGAACCAATAGGACAACTCCAAGGGCAGAATTTTTCCAAACCTACTTTTTTTTTTTTTACTAAGATGAACTACTTCTCTGTTCGTTACTTATTTAGGGATAGGGGTGGGGCCCAGGGACGAGGATAAGGAAAAAGCCAAAGTGGATCTGCTGTTGTTACGGGGGGAAAACTGTTCAATTGGATCAAAATAAACAGCCTGTGGCCTCCCCAGGTCCAGAGCGCGCTTAGAGTCAGGCCGGTTGGAGGCGTTTGGAGCAACAAGCAGGAGAGCGGGCGGGCGCAAGTCCTCGGGCGCCCAGCCTGGCCCCGGCAAACCCAGCGCGGCAGGCAGCCGGCACCGCGCGGAGGGCGAGTTAGCGGCGTGGAGCTGGGGAGGGCGCATGCAGCTGGGTTAGTGGTGACTCGACCATGCGGCTCTGCATTCCTGCTCGGCAAACGCGCTTAGGCAAAACAGACTTGATGCTTACAAGGATCCCAGCCCAAAATGGAGTGTCTCTGACTAGCAGGGAGGGGCTGATGCTCGCCATGAGGAAGCCCACCACGGTCACGGCGATGCCCAGGGCCAGCTGCAGCAGGGCGAGCAGCAGCGGGAACCGGCAGCCGCAGCACGTCCGGGCCTCCTCCTGCCCGCACTGCTTGGGGGCCCCCGTGCCCTTCTTCGGCCCCATGTCGTCGGGCCCGGTGGCGTCCCCGGCCGGCGGCCCCCCCTGCCTGCGCTGGCCGCGGGGCTGCCGGTCCTTGCCCATGGCGGCGGCGTGGGTGGGACCGTGCGTGTGCGGCGCGCACTGGGCCCCGAGCGGCGCTGGGCGGGCTGAGCCTGCCCTGGTATTCGGATTACGGAGGCTGAACAAATATGGAAAACATTTGGAGCCGACTGGCCGGGCCTCCAAAGGCCACAGGGAGCCCGCAGCACAGGGGGGAGTCGAGGGGGGTCGCCAACTGCCAACGCGCTGGGACGCAGCGCCGGCTGGGCCCGCGGGCAGGGTTCGCCCAAAGCCCGTGGGAGCCGGCGCGGGTGCCTCGGCCTCTTCAATCCTTTAAACAGGCGGACTGCTTGGGGGGGCGGGGGTGGGGGTGGGGGGGGTGGGGGACGGGCACGGGGGAAAATGTCTGTTGTCATCATTCCCAATTCCAAACCCCAAGGTTTTTGTTGTTGTTTTTTGTTTTCTGAGAGGTGCAATGCAAGGTGACGAATGTTTAAATCATTTCAGTTTAATTAATAGACAATTTAATCTAAAATAGGCATCGCTGGGCTCCAAGCTGTGAAATCGTTTCCAGGCGCTAAACTGTTTCTTTCCCAACAAAGGCATGGGCTCTTTTTCTTTTTTAAATTCTGCAATCCAACTGACAAAGGCGTTTCTCCCATTCAGGTATTTGCTTTTGAAATAACTGTTTATAGAGATGCTGGGCTCATTGTGAACTCTCTCACATGTATTTCTTTTTTAAAAGCTCTTTTAACTGTTTATGTGGAGTGCCCAGCCAGTCTTCACTAATTTCCACAACCGTGCCTAAGGGGGGTTATTATGCACCTAGGACTCCCGCATTTGTCTCAGTCTACATTTAAGAAATTCTAAAAGCACCTATAGTGTGCGACAATATTAAGGATGTTCAAGACAGAATGTGGCCCCTGCCTAAAGTCATAGAACTAATCAATAAAACTGATTCTTCTTATTCCCACATACTTCTCAGTAGCACTTAGAATTTCAGTGAAACCACTAAGAAATGATCCCTTCACTTTGGAGTCTTTATATATCACATTGGTATGGTCATGTGAACAATCAGAAAGCTGTATTAAAAAAATAAATGATGTTGCCAAGATACTAGAATAGATACTCCTAGATTGTTCTAGCTCAGCACATTTAACGTCTAACTCTGCTCTGTTTCCTCAGAATTATATCCTAATTGTCATCAGTTCTCCTTGAAACAGCCTAGTTAGTCCACACAAAGGTACCTTTGAAGATATAAAATATATTCTTCCTTATGTTATGAATGTCATTGTTTTCCTTCCACCTTCCTTCTGGATCAGTGAGAAAAATAAGGTCCGTGGAACGCATTGCAATAGCTTGGAAAGCAGAATCCAAACCGCGCGCCCCCCTGTTCCCCCTAGAGCAGCAGAAGCAGCCCTCAACCTGAGTAGTTGCACTGACATAGGGTCCTTGTCAGCTGCTTTGGGGCCATTACACCATTAAGATTTCTAGGGAGAACAGACAAAAGCTGGTGTTACACAAGGTACCCACCTGATTTGGGCATGACTGAGAACAACACAAACGAAACAGAACAATACTTATTTTTTTTTCAATGTAAATATACTAAACATTTTTAGGAAGCTAACTGACCACCTGGAATTATTTGTTAGTATGAATAACAGAGCTTCCAAATACTGAGTATCTATTCTATTCTGTAACAAACACATGCTAGGTGCTTTACATACTTTACAGTTACTCCTTAGAAACACCTTATAATTACAGTTTCCACGTTTAAAGATGCAAAATGAATTATTAAGTAACCAGATTAATAAGTCACACCCCTATTTGGGGATGGAGGTGAAGGTAACCAAATGTGAACTCTTGTGAATTACCTATAGGCAAACAAATGGGTGTTAGGCTGTTTAAATTGTTTGTGATTTAAAACAATTTAATGATCATGGGTATTATTTCATCTATCACAGAATTGGCTATTGGCCTTGAACCTATAGCTACCTGAGAACTGTACAAAAATATCTTGATTAACCACCATAATATACAGGGTGGGCAACAGTAGGCTTACAGTTGTGAGTACACAAAACCAGTTTATTCTTGTATTATTATTTATAGATTATTGTATTATGTATTTATATTACAACTGTAAACCTACCGTTGCCCAACCCTATATACAATAGTTGATGGAGACCATTATTCCTATTCCAAATGTATAACTAGATACAGGCTCTATTGGCTAACCATACTGGCTGAGCTGTCATTTAGTTAAGAATAAAATATCCCTATTCCTCAAAACCTTAAATTAGGTCAGTGATGACGAACCTTTTGAGCTCGGCGTGTCAGCATTTTGAAAAACCCTAACTTAACTCTGGTGCTGTGTCACATATAGAAATTTTTTTATATTTGCAACCATAGTAAAACAAAGACTTATATTTTTGATATTTATTTTATATATTTAAATGCCATTTAACAAAGAAAAATCAACCAAAAAAATGAGTTCGCGTGTCACCTCTGACACGCGTGTCATAGGTTCGCCATCACTGAATTAGGTATAAATTAGAATAAACAAAATAATAGGATGCTCCTGTAGGTTTGTCTTTTAAGTTTCAGAACTAGTGAGGCTCACAGTTATAAAACAGTTGTACATACTTTCTTTTCTAAAGGCTTCCTTTTAATTGCCTAGCTGAGACAAGTTTCAAATGAAACCAGTAGCAGTGAACAACAGCCCAGATAAAATTGTAATCCTCTCCAGTGGTCGGCAAACTGCGGCTCGCGAGCCACATGCGGCTCTTTGGCCCCTTGAGTGTGGCTCTTCCTAAGCCTTAGGAGTACCCTAATTAAGTTAATAACAATGTACCTACCTATATAGTTTAAGTTTAAAAAATTTGGCTCTCAAAAGAAATTTCAATCGTTGTACTGTTGATATTTGACTCTGTTGACTAATGAGTTTGCCGACCACTGCGTCTAGGCTGACTCCAGTGTTGAGCTTCCAGGGAAGCAGGCAGCGGTATGGGGGCCTCCCACCTGCTCAGATTTCTGGCTGCATGCTGGAATCTGGGCCTGAGGGCTTGATCTTTGGCGATACCATGAGATAATATTGATGAGGACAATATTTTCACTTAATTCATACAGGAAAGTAGAAACAAAGAACAGGGTGAGGAAAGTTGTCCAAAGGTTACTGATAGAAAGTAATCAGGGCTAAAATGGGATCAAAAGGTCCTTACGGATACAGTAGGGAGAGCGCTCCCTTTAATACATCTTTTCCATGAGAAAAATCACCGTTTCCAGCTCTTCACATAGTTTAACAGAAATGAATGTGGTTTCTTTAGTATTCATAAGTTCTAATGCCTCTCTTTTATAGGGTAAGCAATAACCTCTTCAGATATTTATATTACCGGGAAGAAAGGCAAAGTAGAAACAAAGTGTTTTCAGATACTCTATTGGTTGCTCCTATAACTCAAAAATGACAGAGATTATAAATTAGAAAGTGCAGGAGAGTAGTCACCATAAAGGATTTGAGATTATTTTGATCCTCTGGGGCAAATAACAAAATTAAGCTTAGTATCTCTCTTTGCTGTATCTCAAATTCAACATTATTTCCAAGTGTTTCTGCTTTAGAAGTTCAGAACTGGGATGATGATAACTCTTTTTAAAACTACAGTGGGGCCTTGACTTACGAGTTTAATTCGTTCTGAGACAGAGCTCGTTAAGGAGCTCGTTAACTCAAATTATCAACTCAATGCAAAAAATCGGCCGAGAGACAGCTGGTATCTCAAAAAACTCATTAGTCGGGACACTCATAAGTCAAGGCCCCACTGTAGTGTCATTAACAAAACGGCCTTGGGAAATCCACTTGAAAATAATCTCCAAACCCACATATTTCTGAACACATGATCTTTGACTCACCAAGAACAAAAAAAGATTTCATGGAAAAATTATTACAGTTCCAAGGTATATATCAAATCTCTTTAATGTGTAATTAAATATATCAGAAATGCTCAGTCAGATTTGATTTAAAGAAGTATCAGACACTCCACAGAGAACCGAACTCACCATTGGCTCATATGTCTCACTGGCCTCCATACATGAGTCTAGAAATATTGCTGATCTGTGTGTGTGTGTGTGTGTGTGTGTGTGTGTGTGTGTATACAACAAATAACTCTCTATTCTTTTCCATTTTTTTTATTTCTGTGTCATTAATTCTAACTGTGTCTTTTGGCTCAAGTTTCTTCTCAGAATAATTGACCAATTTATGATTTTTTGCATAACAGTTCGTATTTTCAAGTTAAATGTCTTAGGGGCAGTGTACTCACTATGGTCAACAGAGCGTTTATAACTCTCATTCTATAAAGAGTCTGTAGAGATGGTTACTATCAATCATTCCCTAGTGCATTCTACCTATTTATATGATATTTATAATGATAACAATTTTTTCCGCATAACTTTGTACATGTAGTTTTGTCCATGTAATTTTGACATGTCCACCATAATGAAGAAGAAATATACTTATTTTATTTAAGAAATAAAGAGAGGCTGTTGCTGGTGAGTCCATTGGTTGGGCATTGTTCTGTGCACCAAAAGGTTGCTGGTTCAATTCCCTGGTTAGGGCACATGACCTGGTTGTGGCCTCAATCCCCGGGGGAATGCAGGAGGCAGCCAACAGATGTTTCTCACTCCCTCTCCCTTCTCTCTCTCTAAAATCAACTTAAAAAGACAAACTTTTTTTTCCAAAAGAAATAAGAAGAGAAGAATGTATAAGTAAATTGCGGTATATTCATACAGTGGAATACTACTTGCTAATAAGTAGGAGTGAACTACTGATATAGGCAATGACATGAATGAATCTCACCAATAGTTTGCTGAGCGAAAGGAACTAGACAGAAAATAACACTGCATAATTCCATTTATATAAAAATAAAAATGCGCCCTAACTGGTTTGGCTCAGTGGACCGAGCGTCGGCCTGCGGACCGAAAGGTCCCAGGTTCGATTCCGGTCAAGGGCATGTACTTTGGTTGCGGGCACATCCCCAGTGGGGAGTGTGCAGGAGGCAACCTGTCGATGTTTCTCTCTCATTGATGTTTCTAACTCTCCCTCTCCCTTCCTCTCTATAAAAAAAATCAAT